ATTAAAAATATGATAGTAGAGAATTATACTTGATAATACAGTAATTAATTATAATTGTTTATGTATTCAGGAAAACCTAAAGCAATTAGGTGGTATGATGATGGTGTTCAACTGACCTCTCCATCTTTAATACAATGTCAAGAAGTAGTTTCTCTATTAACATACAAACACACAACCATTGTCATCAACAAATCATCTCCTGACGTTGTGTGTGATCTGTTGCCAGTTTTATTACAAAATGAAAAGGTGGAATACTTGAGAATACAAGACACTCAACTAACACAGGACTGCATCTCATCCTTATGTAACTTACTGGCTAATAATAAATCATTATTAAATTTATTTCTTATTAACTGTTCCATTGATGACAAAGCAGTTGCTGATATTACAAACGTACTACAAACACACAATAACACACTTTTTGGATTATTCTTCCTTAAGAATCCTCGTATTACTTCAGTTAGTGCTCAGTCTCTTTCTGAACTAATTATCAACAATTCAACATTAACTGAATTACAAATAGGACACAATTCAATATCATCTGATGGAATATTACTAATTCTTCAATCGTTAACAATTAATAAAAATATAAATCTCTTTCTAGATCTGAAACACAAAGACATATGCACAGAATACCATGACTATAATGTTATAAAAGATAGAGTAATATTTTATAATTAATTAATAATAATTGTATTTCGCTTTTATTGAGGATGCTGACTCATCAATTATTTAATAATTATTAATTTAAACACAAAATAATTAACAAAGTGATTTATGATAAACACGTACAAAAACAAGTAAATACAAAATAATAATAATAATAATAATAATAATAATTGCGTTCACCCATTTTAATAATAAATTATTATTGCAACCAAAGACAATTAAAACAATAAAGTAGAAGAGAATAGTACAACCAGCTTATTGGGCAAGCAGTACATGTGTCAGTTGTTATTAAAATAATAATAATAATAATAATAATAATAATAAATTTATTATCTTATTATAACTGAACTATTATGATGGTCCTTTGTACCCATCCCCCTCCTCCACAGCATCCTCCCTTAGCACGTGGTGTATCAGTCTGTCTTAAGAGAGAGGCACCAGCTGGTAAACTAGTTAAACAATCTGGTGGTAACTTACGAGCTATGAGACAAGAGAGAGAGAGAGATTATGTTACAATAGTACATACTACAGTACATCATTAGTAGCTACTCACTTATTTCAATGAACATTTCCTCAACATTCCTAGCAGTGAAGGCACTAGTCTCTCCAAATATGGCATTAACTTCTGATGCATAAGTCTGACCTTGTTCAGCTGGAATCTAAGAGGAGAGGAGAAGGGAGAGAAAGGAGAGGAGATAAAAGGAGAGTGTAGTAGAGAGAGGGAGAGAGAGAGGATTTATTACATTTTCTGATATATATTGATGTACTTATGCTGTGTAGAAAGTTTGAGGTGATTCTGACTTAAATTTCTCAAGTTATGGCTGTTTTTTAAAACAGCCAATTTTTAAAAAATACCCAAGACTATAAGCCTATGGTTTGTTTGAAAAATGGCTCCAAAATCACCTCAAATTTTTGTTATATTTTAATGCTCTGATGTACATATACAATTATACTAGTCATACTTCTCTTTTATCTTCAAGGTCACATTTATTTCCAGCAATTGCTAATACAATATTAGGTGGACCTAGTCTGTGTAGTTCTGCTATCCAATCCTGTAACACTGTGAATGATCCCTACATGTACAACAATGCACATAATAATAACAACAACAACAATAATAATAACAACAATAATAATAATAATAAATACAGCAATATACAATGTATGCCTACATAGATATAAAATAATCCGTATGGTGGGAAAATTTCGTATAGTGGGAAAAGGGGGTCGTGAATTTCGCATTTTTTACAAAATTTATGAAAATTAAATCTGTGACCAAAAAGTAGAAAACCACAAAAATTAAAGCCATGAAATCAATTTTTTAGACAGATTCGCAAAAATTTTGGGCCACAAAATTTTCTACTATACGATAATAATAATAATAATTCTTACTTCATTTGTTATATCATACACAACAATGGCTGCTGCTGCATTTCTGTAATATATTGGTAATAGTGACCGATACTAATTAGAAGAGATAAAAAAGAATAAAAATAATAAATAAAATATATTTATTGTGTGACTTACTCTCTCCTGTCCAGCTGTATCCCATATTTGAAACTTGATTGTGCTGTTGTCAACTGTTAGACTTTCGACATAAAAGAAGCTCTGGAATACAAATACATGTAACGTCTCATAAATACATGTAACGTTTAATAAATGAATGTAACGTTTAACAAATCATGCAATATTTGATAAAATAATTTTAATGTCCAATAAATACATGTATACATTGTATATGTACATGTAATGCTTGATAAAATATGGCAGTAGCTTTTAGTCATTTACTCAATGAAATATGATAATGTGTTAAATATGTGGAGGAGTATCATGTCCTGTAGTACACCGTTGCTAAATTTGGGTGATTGCTGCCGTTTTAATTTGGCAAATTTGTGACCACGTGCCATTTTATTTACGTCACATAAATACATGCAATGTTTAATAAATACATGTATTATACATGTAATGCAATGTTTGATAAAATACATTAAACACTCAGGAAATAACAAACCACATAAACAGATTATACTGCAGGACATGAGAGAGAGGAGGAGGAGGAGGAGGGAGGAGCTATAGATATGCATAAGTATAGATACGCATATTTTACTCAATATAAGTCCTAAAATCTTAAGAGTGTCCCAAATGGCCTAACTTGTTAAGCTGAGTGCATTGAATCTGGAGTTCTGAGTTCAAATCCCAGTTTTACTTTTTCTTTTTTTATTTTACACAATTTTTTTGTCCTGGAAAGAAATAAACACCTGGGCTTTTATTTGAACATTTATGGTACATGTATTATACATGTAATGCAATATTTGATAAAAACATTAAGGGTGCTGCCTATAGCAACAATTATTTTATGCAGGAATGCTTAAGCCATATAAGTGTCCCATATAAGAATCTTATTAGGTTCTTTATGCTCCTCTAAAAATGGGTTTTATTTTAATGAAAAACCTTTAAGAAAGGGGCTGGAAATATATAAAGCTGTAAAATGAAGTTTAGATTTTGAAATTGGTGTTTTATGCCAGAAAAATGCAAACTTTCGAAAAACTTTGCCTGTAGTGATCAGAATCAGACCAAATTTACAATATAGCCTCTTTACATGATTACACATACAGTAACATAGAGATATTTCAATTAAACAGGGCTAATATAGGAAAATGTGGTGTTGAGCAATATGAAAATCAAACTAAGTGGCATTACTAGTAGAAAAGGAGAAATATCTCTATGTTAATCAATTTGTTTGGTTAAAAACTGCCTTCACCTAGAAATCTGGTTATTCAAATTGAAAGTAAGAGGAGTT